CCACGGCTTACCGACATGCCGAACGTGCTGGACAACGTCGCGTTTCACGTCGGAGACGTCGAGCATGGACCACCAGGAGTAGCAGCAGGGGGTTCTGGGGGCACTCGCGTCCTGGTAGGGTGCGGCGGTGAACGCGAAGTGGTGTCCCACGGCCGCGATGAACATCTCAATGCAGATCGCGAAGTTCTACAAGGCGGAGCGGGACGTTGATTACTCCTAACATCCCCACCTAGTGATTGAAATTCAGTTGCCGCACCTCCGACTTGCCAAATATTCACGGCTTAAATTTCTAAAAGTGAACTGTTTTTGGTTTTCGACATGGATATCTCGGATATGACATCAATAAACTTGGAACCTGTTATAATCTACAGTTCAGCCGAAACCCATAAAGCATGCACGTTAGTTTAGAAAACTAAACAAGTCATGTGGTTTGGATGACCATTAAGGATTGTGTGGCAGTCTACAAAGGTGCCGGATTTATCGAAAGTACAAAAATCCTCCAATTCAGCAAAAACGAAACGCGGAAGCAATATATGAGCTTGCATTGCGTGATCAGACTATCTTTACAGCGTGTAATCAAAGGCCTTTTCGCAACCTTTCTTGGGAAATTACATGGCGTATAAGCAAGAAATCGAGTGGGATTTTCGGACAATTGACACAATAAACGTTTTCGCCCACTTCCCTTTCCCCTTCCTTGGATTTGGGATTTGATTCATCAATTTCGGATCCAAACGCGAGTACGCATACACACACTGCCCTCTTTGAGATGGAAGCTCCTCGGTGGTAGGAGTTCGACGACGTAATCTAATTAGCAATGCACCATTTCTTGCTGACTACAAGGACTTTTGTGCGAAAGTGTCAACTTTGGGAAATCAAAAGTGGTAGCTTTCTAGGGTTCGTCTAACTCAAGATCAGTGCTCTGACTTGGGATAACGTGTCTTTATAACTTCCCAAGTTGACCTCGTTTTGTTGATGTAATCAACCTCAGCGTATTCGTCCATACGAAGGAATCAATGCCTGTTAACAAGTGTAGTTTACACAGCGTCATTCAATGCCAATCAAATCTAATTTCGCTGGCCTTGAACGCCAACAAAGTCTATTGGAGGCACTTACTTGGAGTGCGATCCCGATCGAGCGCTCGTCGTACAATTTCCATGCTTCTACGCGACCTATTATTCCAGAGGCAGCAAGAATAGATATCAGAACAGACTGCCTAGAAAACAATAGAAATTCTGTTAAGGATATAAGCCTTGCAAACGAAAAGCAAAAGGACATTTCCTAATGGTAATTTAGCGACCGCAAAAAAGTAACAAGTCAAACATAAACATAAGATAAGCAGACCTCATCTACTTGTGCAGTTAACTATTTCCGTTTTAAATAAAGCTCCAATATGCAAATTTTGGTAATTTTAAACTCGGAGAATAGAAACAAGTGTCATGTTGTGTTGGAATTTTTATTTACATTTGAAAATACTAGGAGCATAACTCACCAGAATGACATAAAAACCACGAATTTGACGCAAATAAACTTGGAAATAGGATTCATCTCCTTCAGTTCTGTACGTGTACATTGGTAAAATAGCACGAGGCAGTAGAGTGCCCACTAAAACATTAAAAAGAATCGTACAGCAAGGAAGATAAAAACGATAACACATAGATAAGAGCATTTGTCTATACACGATTACAACAGCGATTAATACACTTGCGGGTTATAAATATGTAAACATTAGCAATAAAGCTGTGTCCTTGAAAGCTTGTGTGAGAAAATGACCATCATGAAGTAATGGTACCGGTTACACACTCGTTTTGCTAAAATTTGCGCGTTTGGATGCAAAAGGCTGCCAGCTTCTTATTAAATAGTCAACTACGCCGACAAATTTGTGACAAGCAGTAAACGAATGTAGATGATGAAAAGCTTGATGACTACGCGATAGAGGAAAAGTAGGCAATTTTCGCAATCAAAAGAGTTGTCCCTGAGAGGCATAAAGAAAATTGTTACAAACAAGTAAAACGCTGAAACATTGATTCAGACAAAACCTACAACTTGTGAGACGTTGTTGATCACGGTGAGGTAGAGGTAAGCGTACTTGGGACTGAAGTTGGTTTCGCCGTAGACCTTGCAAACTTCACAAATCCTATAACCAGAGCATAGTAAATAACATGTCCCTTGCTTGGGAGATAAAAAAAAAAGACAGGATACACTTACAGCGCTATAATTGTGGTAACAGGGCGAATGACAGTGTACTGAAGAACGCCATGACGGCACCGCTCGATGAAGTAACTAGAGCAAAATGAAGTTAAAAAGGGAACTAGAGTTCGTTTTTTGCAGGCAATAAATCATCACTACAAGGATTATCAACCATTTAAGTGTTTGGACAGCTATTTTGCGATTGAGATTCTCAAATGAAATACGAACGCAACATACCTTCCCATTGGCCAGGGCCTGAAACAGCAAAACGGGGGAATATGCCTGACTTGAGGTTTGAGAGCTAAATGTTCAACAAGTTCGGGGTCTTTTCGCCGCAGGTAGTTTAGAAGAAACGTCAGAAAGTTGTAAATTGCGTAAGCTTCATAACATTCGCGAAGGGTGTCAAAGTAGATGGCATACTTAGGAAACCTCAAAGCAAACCACTAAAATAAATTAAAATGCATAAAAACGTGACGTACGGCATTGACAGCGTAGATTGGAACCATCCAAAGAATCCTAGAAATTGTCAAACTGACATAACTGTCATACCGGATGATGTGCAGTTGCAAATATGGCTTTGTATAACTAATAAGATGTTCTAGTATAGTCCACAAGGATATTGGAACTGCACCAACGACAAAAAGGGCACCGAAGAACCACGCAAACTCCATAGAGTTAGCAGAAGTATTCTTGAGAAAGACGATGCAGAAAGGAAGGCCAATGCATAGCGCAATAATGTACGTCACAATAAATGCAGGTTTAATCCACTTTCGCCAGACTAGCATAACGCTTCGCTTATTTATAGAAATATGTCTAATTCAAATCGAAGATCCTCCCATTAAGACATCTCTGGAATGACACATTGTACTCTCCCCGCTCATTGGTTAGCAATACTTTTAAAAATACGGCTTCTAACGAGTGCATTTTAATGTTGTGGCACGCATTAACAAACACCATCGCTAAATTTCTGGCCCTATGTTTATAGAAGGTAAATATCTGTTCAAAGATTACGATATTGTATTCATATTTTACAAAAAGAAAGTAAAAATTGATTCAAAATAATTTTGTCTGTCCTAATGCTCCACTGGTGAATTGAAATCGGACATCAACAAATCGCCAGCGAAGTATATAATTCAATTTGCCTTTTCGTAAAAATTTTCTTACTTGGTCATCTGTTCTTTTTTAACTTCACTTCAATTAGTTGCTTTTTCTAGAGTGGGCTTTTCGTCAATATGGATTTGTGCATTTAACATTCTTCCTCCCTCACGTTCATCAACTACATTTGGTGTTTGCACTTGTTTACATTAGAGAACAGAAATGGGTCAAGTCGTTCGTTTTAATATTTATTTATTCATGTTTATTGTTGACATGTGAAGAGTAGTAAAATTCACTAGGCCATTGGATGTCTTTTACACTACCGAATATACCAACCAGAAAGAATAACTGACAAAATAAATTAGGACACCACCATAATTACTTGATTTTGTATCCACGCAAAGGTTTTGATCCTTATTATGCATTCCTGCGACTCTTGGGCTAACAAACAATGAATGCGTTTTAGATCACGCACCTACGGTAAAACAATTCTTTTAGAACTTACGCGTCTGAAAAACTGTCATAAAATTTTACGCTTCAGACAATATTCGTTCTGACGGCCGAGTCAATATCACAGTCGAAACAAAAATTTAATGTCTTTCTAGAACAGATTGATCGCACTTTAGGGTCAAAATGAAGGTATCGAGAGTATAAATGTCGCAGACGAAAACTAAGTTTCTCGAATAAAACGCACAGTTAGCATCCCAGTTGGACCGTCTGAACCGACTTTAAATTTTTCCTACAGTCCCTAAACCCCGAGAGCGCAATCACCAGGAGTCAAATTTTGCATTCTTGCGTTAAAATTTCCTTATTTTTCATATAAATGAAGTCCAAAGCCTACCTAAGCATTTCGCAAAGAAATGTCTTCATGAAGTCCTTTCTCATTAGTTATTTACAAGGCTTGCATCAAGGGTTATAGAACGAACCCAATACGGCATTCGAGCTAGTCTGAGCTCTTTGGCGTAGTTCATGCCAAAATCTTGCATTAGTAGATCACAGAATATGCGTAGCGATTTCAGAGACTAGAGCAAGAAATTTACCAGCATTGAACTTCGGATTTTTTCAGGAAAGGTCAACGTCGAGGGTAGAATTTGCGACTTCTTCAGAGAACTGACCATGACATTCAGTGTGGTTAAACAACACTAACCGAACGCTTTCCTGATAATTTTGGGCCAACACGCGTAATTAGCATTATCGAGGACCACCCAGACATTCCCCAAACGCCAAGCTGAAAAAAATCTACCCACCAACCGATTAAGAAAAAATTAGTCTCACAAAGCTATACAATCCCGTTTATTCAATTAAGTTGCGAAGTATGCAAATTATCGCGCTGAAAAAAGGGTGTCGTATATTACAGGTGAAGAGACAAGGAAATGACGGTGTTAAACAAAGAAGGTCTCGTTTCACAAACTAACACAAGAACGTTACGCATCCAATCCCAGTGTTTCACGACCCAACTCAACACGAGCTCTGCCTGCAATCAAGAAAGGAAACACAAGTTAGCAACCAAAATGAAAGCCAACTGCAACACGAGAATCAGACTTAAGGAACGGCAGAGCAAGAGGCAATACTTAGACAAAATTCTGTGACGTGGCTTCATTCACCGGCCCAGGAACGGATATTCAGTCACATCTTGGTCTCCACTACATCCCAGAAGTGTTCAGATTCAAAGCACCTGCAATCATCCCATTACAATGAAATAGCGCGCTCGAAAAGGGAATCAGTTATTGAGGCAAACGGAAGAAAGGGACCGTCAGCCTTGTTACTACCGGCTTTTGTTGGGTCTCGGGTGGGTTGGAGAGGGGTTTGCCCCGAGTACCACGCTGAAGGGATTTCCTCAGATTGGCCATGGTATCTGTGAGGTGGTTAGTGTAATTACTGTAAAAACACACGAAGCCCAACACGGTACCACATCCTACACACATTTTATGGAGACTACCAACTTGCAGATGCATGGCTGCTTTAAAAGTGCTACCAAGAAAAAGAGCTAATTCACAGCAAAAAAGAGAATTATTTCACACCAGGAACATCCACTCGCTTCTTACTGGCATTGAAGCCATTCGTTAATATTCACCTTCGATTTCAGCAGAAGCCACGCAATTTCTTCACAAATCTTGGCACACTGGTACGTAGTGCAGATCTCTCTTCAACATACTTGGAACGCGCCGAAATCCGTTTGCAACAGGGCTAATGATCACCTTGTTAGAAGGACACTTTGCAAGTGCCAAGTGGCTCCCTAAACAGTTATTCTCGGTAGGTGGGTGGCCGATTCGCATTACCTAACACAAATTTAGTAACATTAACCAAAACCATTTATAGGTGGAGACCACACGCATCTCAAACGACTAGCACAGATGATGTGCTGAGTAGAAGGGTCAAAGTCGCAGTAGCATGCGCTGAACAACGCATAAAACGTCGCTACCGGTTAGCAGATCCCCCTACTTGGGTGTAGTCATAAAAAAGTTGATGTCACCGTCGACGAAATGGTTGATTCTCGGAGTGTCTAAGTACAAATCAGCAGTGAGACAAGCTTATCACTTTGACAAGGCCGTGGAGCAAAGGGTCAGTACATGGCACCTAGCAAGTCAGCACTCCGCTTCATTCCTCTCTCTCTCAATCACAAAATCTGTGGCCTTGTAAATTCGCCACGTCCTAAGGTTCACGCAAGTGGACACAAGGCACAGGAACGCCTCCCACGCACAGAAGACTCCAGTGGCAGTTGTAAAACAAAGCTGTAATTGGAAGGCGAATGCTGACACATTCGGAGCCTTTCATGATGCCTCAGAACGGGGCTTAAGCTCACGACGCTCTGTCACCAAGTCACAAGTGGATTGCATTCGAAATCGTGTTTACGAAGAATCAAACTCGCAGACAGAGAAGCGGTGATTTAACTTCTCCAACATTAAGCCCTTTGACGGTAACCACTTCAGTGGCCATCCAAAAACCAAAACTAACTGGCAAGAAACTGTGGTAGGCGAGGATTGGATGAAGTGTCGCATGAAGACCAAGGAATTTCAGCGAGCCACTCCACGTCGACGCCATCATGCGGAAGATCCAAAGGACCTCAATCAGAAAGCACTGCGTACACGATAAGTTACACGAGGCGGCGAATCTGCCTGTTTCCACATACGACCGAGCTAAATTGATTGCCAGCGAACGACTGAGGTTAGTATTCATGATACAACAAGGCTTGCTTCTCCGCAAACCCATGCTAGGCTGCCGGGAGCATTCTAAACCGAGTTAGACTTCGCAGACAAGTAGAAACTTCTACACTGCGTAACGTAACATCGCCCGAGTTTAGACTGGGCCTTCACGAAACCCAGCCAGTCAATTACGAAACTACACGCATGGATCACGCCTTAATTTGTGAACAGTTGAGTGGAGCGTCTTCCTGTTGTTGAAGGCCTTGGTATGTGGTTCACACAGATAGCCTGGAAGAAGATGGCGAATAGACAGCCGTTCACCAGACGGCTCAAGTTATCTGTGGGTCGCGCCTTGAGCATAAAATACCATGTCTGATAACTCAACTAAGGCGAACTTGTAAAATTTTAAATGTTCGAAAGGCCAGATGAATGAAATGAGTGGAGATAGGGGTACATGCATAGAGGCGGTGCATGGACAGACGGTTTGGCCTGATCGATAAGAAAGCCATGAAAACTGAGGAGTGGCGGGTCTAAATATGCGATGACTGGGGCAATGGACGTGAATCAACACAACTCACTACACGGCGTGCTGATTTACCTGTCAGGGAGGCTTGCATGTAGAAACCAGCATGACATCCCGCTACTACTACTACGTGATCTTATCTCAAAACAAACCGCACGCTTTTCGGAAGCTGCACTACAAATCCGGTGTGAATTTTATCACGCACCCAGGCGCGTGCGATCACATTCGCAAAATCACTTTTCACGGTCGGAGTGTGCCATTGTAGAAGGCCAGGAAGCAGGTTGAGGAAGGCTTAAAACAGCCAAAACGATGAGTAATTGGAAGGTGTAAATCGGCTGAAATCACGTACCTTGGCCCTCCTCTAAGGCTTCATCCTTACGTAAAAATTAAAAAGGACATGAGGAGGCAGTGTAGTGGGAGTTTGGAAAAAAAGTAATCAGTCAAAGTCACGTAGACCACTTGGAGTCATATTGGAGAGAAATGTTCCACAGACTCCGCTACGATAATATGCCAAGTAAATTATGGCAAGCAATCGCCATTTAACAGTCCTGTATGTGCGTACACGAGGCGATCAGTTTCCCGCATAAATAATAACCGAAGGCACCAAGGTGACGGTACTTTTCATAAGTTGAGACACTCAGGATGCGAAAAGCAACTTGCTCACTAGACAATTCAGAAATGATAGAGGCTGCGGTACATTACCCGCAGGCCTTATCAAGGAGTTCCGACTTCAACCTAACAGGTTTCCTGGGCCACAAAATCTTAGCTCAAGAAAGCAAACAGCTTGCCATGCGGGAATTTTTATTCGCGATTATACATTTGTCCAGGACATCGAAAAACCTATTTTAGACTAATCAAACTGCCGGAAACCCGTCGGTAGACAACAAATCTACTGAAGTAGAAAAATAAGTATTCAACCACAACATGTTACGAAAAAATTCAGAAGATAAAAAGTTGATCGGGAATTGGACTTTGTCATCTTGGTGGACGCGTTGAGAAGTTGTGCACGACTCCGAAGCACTAAGACGTTTACTGACTAATGTTCCATCCTAGGTTTCTAAATGACTTGAGCACCTAAAGGCGACTCAAACTCGCATTCTTTGCTAAACGATCCAGACAAAAAAAACTCGCCTCGTCGTTGTACGTTTTCACCCTTTAGTGGGCATTAAGATAAACCCCCTCCCAGGCAGTTTCGGTAAACAAAAATTACATCGTAAGTCGTTTGTCGTGTGAGACAAACGACTGTCATGTGTACGCGTTGGTCGTACTGCGTGCAAGTATAAATACAGGCAGCACACACGTGAAAAAGAAGTGGGAATCGGCAACACATGAATGTGACTGGTTGGAAGCCCGTGAAAACCGATTTAAAATAGCCTGTGCTTTAAAAGTGAATCCATTATAGCCTAGGAGGTAGCAGGATCGCTCCCACGGTGAGACTTTACTGCAAGAAATAGCAAACTCACGGTTAACGCCTCACGCACTCTTGGTGTTAGCCAACGAGGCCACAGGGATGGTGTTTGGATGTGCGTTTGGGTTGGCCCGCAACCACTGCTTGACATCAGAGAGCAGGGCATTGAAGGTGGCAGAGAAGTCCTCCAAATTCTTCAAATTCGCAGTCGCAACGCCATTCTGGGCGAACGTGAGAGCCGATTTGGCGAGAAGTTCCACTTTGTCCGTGGGTAGCGCCACTGCTTCCACCAGGAAGGGATGCACCGCCATGTCCCAGAACTCCTGCACCGCTAAGCCCTCAGGGGAACAATAAAATGCATGCAACGCCTTCACGAGGACCATCTCGGTGTCACTACCCTGCTGCACAGCCCCTCCGCCAACCAGGAGATTGAGAAATCTACGAGCGAATTGCCCACGCCAGTTGGCCAGGAAGGACGGAAGAGCGAAGAGTCGATGACGCATGTTCAGGTCGCACAGGGCCTCTGTGCAGGCCGTTATGAGGCGGGGATCGAACACCCCACCAGAGTACACCGCAAGCACGGAACGCAAAAAAGTCGCCAAATTCTCCTCAGAGGTTAGCTGAGAGTAGCCGAAGGACATGGTCTGGAAAAGGGTATCGAAGACACGCAGACACAAGTCAGGATCGTTTCTTGAGGCTGTAGACACGATGGTGGGGAGATCGGCCATTATCCCACCGGCAAGGTTGACTACGAGACAGTTGCTGACGAATCGCAGCACGTCAGGAGCCATCGGCGGAAAAACAGTTCGATTTTGTACAAGCCGATTGATCAAGTGGACTAAATGCGAGACTATGGGCGACACCAAACGCGCTGGTGCAGTGTTGCTCTCGAGGACATGCAAAAGTCGCATAACTTTGGCAACAAAGCCGGGGATAAGGGACGCTGTGGTCCGCTGACTCCCGTATATGTCCGTAAACTGCACAAAGAAAGACAGGTGAGCGACAAAAAGGTGGACTTCGGGGGAAAGACTCGTGGTATCCAAACACTGCCATATCCGATCTAGGAGACCAGAGGCGGTCAGGGAGTCGTACATCAGCCGCCTGCTTTTGCTTCCCAGAGGCATGAGCGACGCCAGCGCCTCGTTAAGCCAGCACAAACTAGCGAAGTACGCGTCTCTGTCGGTGGTCAAGGTTTCTTGGCGCAGAGCCTGCGAAAAAAAGGGGATGAGGCGGTTGGCCAAAATGCTGCCCTTTTCAGAGGTCAGAGCTTGAAGCTGTTCAAGGCACTTGAGAGCGAATTTGGACTGACTGGGTGGAGGCACCTCGTCCACTAGCAAGTAGGCAGTGACGCTTCTCACAAGAAGACGCTGAACGGGTATGCTAAAGGATTTGAGGCGTGCAGTCTCGCAACAACAGTTGACGAGTTCCAACAAGCAACCGCCCTCAGACAGCAGACCGGCAGGAGGGAGGAAGCCTGGTGGGTTTGCTGATAAAACCAGCGCCTGAAACAACTGGGTTGTGTGCAGACGAAGTGAGACGACTGGTGACTTTAGAAGGAGGTGGTGGATGCACTGTATTAAGGCCGTCGAAAAGGCATCTTTATCTTCCAGTGTGAGAACTACGTGCCCTCGTGGTATTTCGACATTTGAGTCCTCACAAACAATAACGAGTCCGCTGGACATGAGACACCGAAGAAGATTGATGTTTTCCACGACAACCTGGACAACATCTTGTCTGATAGTATCCATTCGGAGGCTTTCCAAACGATCACATAGCGACACACCTGAGCCCAAATTAAAAACTAGGGCCTGAAGCAGCCAACGAAGCATGCTGGTATCCTGTAATGAGCCAAAGTGCTCCGAAAGGTAGGTCAGGCAACTCAAACAGGTAGCCAGATCACGTAGCGCACTGTGCAGCTTTCGCGTAGTGTGCTCCTCTAGCGTAACCTTGTCCCCCAAATTGCAGAGCTGTGAAAAAACGGCAAGTTCCTTCTGAAATTTGGCTGCTACACTGTGCAGCACGTTCGTGGGATTAAAAAAGGCGATCGATGAGAGGAGGGTGAGGGAGGTCTGGATGAAAATACCGTACTCACTTTGGTCAGCCATTAGGTCACTGGAGTCGGCAAGTTGAAGGGTGTCTTCGAAAAAGGCGACATACGAATTGCTGAAGTCAGTGGCGCTGCCTGATTGGTGCGCTGGAGGGGCTTCGTTATCGAGAACATCAAGATAGGAGCTTGATTCTGAGAAGTAGATCGTGGAGAGGAGAGAAGAGCAGAGGTCTGATATGATCAGTTGGGTTTGTTGAGGGAGCTCGACCGGTTTATGTGTGCCTGTCGACAAAACCGAATCGCCGTAATGAATGGCCTTTATGAAGTCTAAATAGGCGATCCACAAATCAAGCGACGATAAATATACCGACAGCAATGGTCGGCAGACCGAGAAAGTAAAGTACTGGACTCGTTGTAGGAACTTGGTAGGGGAGAATATATAGGGGTTCTGATCAGTCGTTGAATTGTCATCGACAGTTTTTGAGAAAAGGAAATTTGTGACGAGCAATCGGAGGATGTCTGCCAATTTTTGGTAAAAATCTTCGGAGGTAGATTCCACTGACTGAGTTACGGCAGCGAGATCGGCAAGATTGCTTTCTAAGCCAGCGGTCGATAACATCACGCCCGACTCGGCCAACAGGTTGATCACCGAAGAAGCGAGACCAGGCAGGGGATACTCGGTGTCTAACATCAACATGACCCAGTAGATAATCCGATATACGTGAAAGAGGTGCTGGATCAATACATCACGAGGGAAGTCCTTCCGTTCGACTAATTCAGTCAAACAGGAGAGGCTGTGCATGCCAATTTCAGCAAGTGAATCAACGGAAACGGCGGGCGATAGATTTCGCTGTCTCGAAGCTTCGATTATAGCCGTTATTAACTTGGGAAACCCCATTAGAACAAAGATATACAAGAGACTATACAGACGGCAGTGGTCAGTAAGGGAGCCGGAAGCAACGCTTAGAACAACATTGAGGGATTCGAGAAAACCGGTGAAATTTTTCAAAAGAATCACCGAGAGCCTTTTATTCTCCACATCAGTAGAGGAGAAGAGGATATTAGTGTTGAGGCAGAGTACATGACGTAGGCACGTATACATCTGTGCCTCGGAGACACCCTCTGAAGCAGTGGAGAACATGGCCCTTGCAGCATCGATGAGATCATGGCCGAGAAGCGTTTCGACAACATTAGCCAGGGCCGCAAACAACTGAGGCGCTGAACGTCCCAGTATGAAGACATTCTCTGCTGTTTTGTTGCTTCCTACTTCGTAATCTGGACGCACCAGCTCTTCAAAAGCAGCTTTGAACAAAGAAAGAGAAAGACTTAAACGCTGTAGCTCCGCTTCTGAGGCGATCGATGGAGGCATTCTCAGAAGACAAATCAGTTTTTCAAGAAACTGTGATTGTATTTCAGAAAAGGTCTTTTTGCAAATCGAAGTCCAAATTTTGACAGCTTTACATTTGAGAACAGATGTAAAAGAGGATATCGGAGATTGGCACTCAGACGCAAAGGCATACTTCTCAAGAAATCCACTTATCTCCTGTTTGTCTGCATCAGAAAGAAGAGGCCAGCGTTGTTTAGTCGTAGATTCAATAATGCCTAAACTAAACATGCCCACATACTGGTCATTGGATGATGCCAAAAAGTTAAGGGCTGTCATCCACGACGAGGGCTCCTGTTCAAATTGAATAAGAGATTGTTGTAATTGAGCAAGGCGCTCTGGGCTGGACGCCTGGGCGTAGAATTCTACTAAGACGCTCTGAATATCCGCCAAGGCGGTCATGATGGATCTATAAACGAAATAATTGTGACCATGTGACTGAGACGACTCAATAGGGACGATAGACATTTACGCAGGTGCAGTAAAAATATGGAAAAGGATATAAAGACCCGCCAATATAAAAAAAATCAAATATTAGCAATAAACACTGAAATATTACTGCATAGGGAAGCCAATATATTATAAAGTAAAAACTTATTAGCAAAAACCCCAAATTAATGTCTGGAAACAGGTTAATTACCAGAGAGACTTCCTTATTTCTTTTTCTGCAACAATTACAGCAAATTTAAAAATGCACATTAATAAATCGACACTTGTGGAAACGCAACTCACTAAGGTAAACCAATCTTCAGCTAAAATTTAGAAATTGAAAGGAACTAAACATAGAAAATAATTAGCCACAGCGTCTGTGAGGCCACGCTTGTACTCCCTGAGACAGTCATTATAACCACAAGGGTTTTAATCGACAGAAATGCAAAACTAATGATACCAGGCGTTTCAGCGTATGTGAAGGGTCCTAACGTAGCGACGTACACATTGGCGCAATCATATTGGACCATGCCGGCCTCAGCCAATCCTCTGTCTCCTTGTCTTCCAATGGCATGCGAGGAAGATCTGCAACCAACCAGAGACAGACACGTATGAGAAGTTGATAAAATGATCGGCGTAGCCAGCGTTGTGGAATTGGATGGACGGTGCCTGACGTGTGATTCTGGCTTGTGATTAGTCAGTATAGCCTATTCTGTTGTACCGGTCTTCTTCATAGTAGGGCCTGGGTATTTTACACTAAGACCAAAGACGTCGTTAAACGGCAACGCCATATTTGGTTCCGAGTTCTCGAGATGACGTCAGTTTGCTTTTGTTGCCCCATCTGAATTCATCCTCGTGATGGGCTCTAAGACTGGTCATTAAGAGAGAAAAGCCTTTCTATGCTATTTTGCAAAAAATCTGCCGCCCTTTGCAGACCTGCATACGCAGATGACAGCAATGTAAATTCGGATTTCCCATCAACTGTGTCCAAACAACATACTGGTGCACGGAATTTATGCACTGGAAATGGTACATTAGTGATAGGGTCCGTAATTGCAACTTATCGCAGTATTATTATTAAGTCCATCAGCATTAATTTTTTTAAAATCAACTGAGCCTAAAAGTTCATTCGTTTTATATCAACTTTACTATAATGCTCAATTCCATATTGTCTAAATCTTAAATTTTCTAACTATGACCACTTTTTTAGAGGTTTACATTCATTATTCACTACTTCCCAATTTTATAAAGACGGAATGTTGTTTTTACAAACTAATATAAGACAGCTTGTCTATCCCGTAGCTCAATCTAACAGGCGGGTGTATTCAGCTCGATTCCAAAATGCACTTAACGATGGCTTTACAAATACCTAATCGCAATATATGTGGCCAGCGCTTGAGCCTAAGGTGAAATCTTTTCGCACGCTTTGATGTCCTGCGTTCTATTGTGTTTTACTGCAGTGATTAGATTTATAAGTTTTCTTACCTTTTTTTGGAATTTCTTTTCTACTAAGTGGACACTTACATATGCAGCGTTGGACGGCTTAACTAATTCATATAGTAGGTTCATGAATAGTTAGGCGTTCTAGCATGTTCTTTGACTACTTATTTCAGCAAGAATCCACGGTCTACCCTATTTAACAAGTAAGTCACTCCCAACCACTTAAGATTTCAGGTATAAATTTTTCCTTGACTGTATTATCGCAAAAGTTATTTAAAATATTGTGCAGAGAATTCTACTGTCTGTCAGCCAGATATAATGTTGGTTTTGGTACCAAACAATTGTACAGACCAATTGGTGTAGGCTGTCCAGGATATTCATATGGACAGATCATGGAGAATGGTTCTGAATTGTAGTATGTCTAATACCGTCCCTCTGTTTCTCCTGCTGTTTGAAACCATTGCTCATGTATTTCACATTTGAGAATATGAAGGAAGAATAGAAGACAGACATGGTCTGCGTTGGCGAAATGGCAGTGACACATGGGCACACTGCAAATAGCACGTCAGCCCTCACAGATCCAGTTGGGGCAGCAGACTAGACCAAATTTTTATGTAATGGCGTTATGCCAGAGGACCTGATAACCTTGCAATTAACTAGGGTACTTACAAAATATCTAAACCTTATTTCAAAGCTAACGGCTTGAATTCAAATTGTTGATCGTTTAGTATAAAATTATCATAGGTTTTATCGATTTACGGCAGTAACTTTCCTGCAAACTTTGAGCAATTTATCCAGAACCTAAATTCACTTGACGTCTGTAAGTGCCGTTATTAAAGCATGTACAAGTTATCTCTGGCATTTTTTTGAATATTTACCAGAGAATAGCATATCCAAAAGTTGTTGATTACTTAAATATCAAATAAAACAAAACCAATTTTCTGAATTTGTGAATTAAGTGCTCACGCGTAACTGAGGTGTATTTATTTTCTTAGAAGCTTTTAAAAACTGTGTTCTTGCATCGGTTAGGTAAAACAGCAACGGAGTTGATTCTATAGATCTGTAACAATCAATATAAGATGTCTCTAAATTAATTTTAAATTTTGGATACTTAAGGTAAGTTTAAACTGTTCAAAATGTTCAAAAAATGAACCAGATGAAGTGTCACGGTCACCGGTACACTGGTGCAAGGTCCAAATCACCAATAATCGATTTCCTCTTGGTTATCCGTTACCAACTTTCCTCACACGAATACCCTAAGCAAAATACAGATGAACAAGCGCCTCCCCCCCTACCCCTGGACATCGCGCACAGAGTGCATTACTGGCTCAGCCAAAGTGAGTGTAACTCAACAAAACGAACAGTCTACGTTTACCCTTTATGACCTTGACTTAGTGGAGAAGCACCTAAACGATCTGTAACTGCGACATAGTGAGTTGGCACATTGCAGGGGTGCGATAACTGAGAAGAAATGGCTAAAGCAATTGCGTGAAGTGGAGAGTGCTGACATCCCCTTTGTGAAGGAGTTAATATTTCTTCGTCCGTCGGTCATCCTGTAGTAGTGCTTGTTGTCGCAGTGTTCGGCTGCTACTTCAAAAGGGTGATTGTCGGTCCACCTCTAGTTGTTCTATGTCCAGTTGCTCTCGCCACTGCTAGGGTTGACTATTTGGTGTCTCTGAACCTTGTCTGTGGCGGAGTTAAGTTTGATGTCTCATTCTCGTTTTGTAATTCAACTCTACATGAAAAGTTACCCTTCCGTGTCGGGGTTCAATCGTTACTATGATCCACTAGCCACATCCTGGGCGGCATTTTTGAGCGCAAACGTGAGATCCGACCGCAATTTTTGCACCTGGTTCCATGAGGTCGGGTTACTGGGACGGAAGAGCTGCCGATGTCTTTAAAGAATTTACAGTTCCGCGTTAGCATGGAAAGGGCCCTTGATTAATTCAGCAATTTGTTTGTTACTTTGTGGCCTGTGTGTATGGCTTGTTGTGGGCCCCAGCATGTGGTCTTGAACCACGCCGGGGCCACGGAATTAAATCTGGCCCGATTACGTTTCCCACGATGAAGAAACGGACCGGAGACGACGACGTGGACACAACCGTTTACTTCCGAGCTCAACCAAGTTGGTGTCGTATCGTGTGTGGCCTATGCGCGTGTGGAATTATACCTCAGATGTGAGTCATATGTGCGCTAACCCCGAGACCTAGGTGTGAGGATAATCCAGGATAAATGTTCATGCTAATTCAGGGGGAGTTGAGGGTCCGTGGGGCTGGCGACAAGCTGCGGAAAGTGGGACCCTGTGTCGGAGGCTCGAGTGACCGAATTAAGGGGTGTGAATCAGCACGATTCACAGCAAGCTTAAAGCGGCCGGTGCTGGGGTGCCCAGAATGAAATTATCAAAGAACGCCAAGCAGCTGTCTACCCGCGTCGTTGAGGCAACTGCTGGAGGAAACAACGCCGAAGCAGGAACCTTTAGACCATCTAACTTGGACGTTGAGGATGGCCTGCCACAGTGTGCTGTCCCTTGCTGACTCTTGTTGAATGTCACTGACCGTGACGGAAAAGCGTGGACTACCTCACAGAGCCCCTTTGTGGTGCCGTTATTGATGGATACAGCAGAGATAACGGCATCTTAATTGATGATCAAATTGCGGATTGTTGGTGTAGACGGAGGCAATGAGTCATGGTTAATGAAATTGATATCATCGAACAAATCTGGACCAAGGCAGTTTGCCTTAGTGTTGGCTACATGCTCTGACTTACTGAAGGTAATTCCGTCGGGAGAGATGCTATAGTGTGCTCCTCACTCGAGGTACAGACCTGACTGGAGGTCAAACGAGGGAACGTCTTTGTTTACTCAAGATAATCCTGATTGTTTGTATTTCGACAATTCATTTGCTAGTGTGTAAGTCCGAATCTGGTATTTTACAAGTGCTATTATTATCTATCAGGGTCTAAGAGCCTTAGCATGCTGGGTTCTCGACTAACTACCAATGTCGCTATAAATGTGTTGGACACCCCAGAAAATGTAAATAATGGGTTTTCTGACATTGTGTTCTTTGAGTATGTTTTGCCTGAATAACCGCTTGAATTAAAGTTTTGGCTATCAATTATGCACCCTTTAAAACGATTTTACTAAACGGCAGTCAGTTTTGATAAGACTTGTTAAAAGCAAAAACTGCATAATTTTGAAAACGTCGAAATTAATTAACCGAAATTGTCTAGCTTAACATGAGCTGTCAGGTGACCTTCCGCAGGCGGCAAATCAATTTTCGCCTCGAACATGTGCTTTGCAAGTGAAGGCGATGTGTTTTTTGGAAAAAAGGCCAATCTCGGGGCTCAGATAAACGCAGACTCGAATCTTGAGCACTGCAAAACGATCGATATTCCCAGGGAAGCGCGTCGAGATCTTGCAAAATGTTAATTAAGCAATGAATTTGCCGGTAGGCGAGAAAGGCTGGCTTAAGGGATTTGTCTGATAGTAGTGCTTTGCTGTTTTGTCAGCACTTGATGCTTTACATGTTGGCAAG